CTGCCTTTCAGTCGCAATGGACTGCGCGTTGCAGCGGACGGCACCCTGCCATATTTCTCCTGAGCTTCAGTCGCTCTACTTGCACGACTCGTATGGATTCGAAGGGAGTCACTGCGCGTGGCGCTTAACAGGCGACAGAGCTGGCTCGTGCCTGGGTTGCGCTGCTTGGCAGCTCTCTGTCAGGCTACCGCGTGACCTCCAATTCAGCAAATTGGACAGCCGCAGCCTGAGCAGCTGTGTTAGTCCACTTGCAGTCGCTCCCAGGCCTGACCTATGCGTGGCCCGGCATGGACATTTGCTTGCATGGGTGCTGTGTGGACGCTTTCTGCCCCATGGCCCTGGCATCCACACTCAGTGCAGTTTGCAGCCTACCCGAGGCGACGCTCAGGCAGCTAGTTGTTTAGGTTACGCCGCTCTAGCTTGCTCCTGTTTTAATTAGTAGGCCCGCGCCCCGGACTTACGACTCGCCGCTTGCGCTCTCGCCTGCGGCTGCGACCAAACAAATTATCCACACCAGCCCTCGCGGACGGACTCCTCAGGATCAGTGCTTCCGTTTGGGGACTGAGTGCGCGACTTTGGTGGCGCCATTCAATGCACCAGTTCGCGCCGTTCGGCACGCTTTGGAGTCGTCGCAAATACTGTATTGCCGCTTCCCTTGCCCCACCCTGGTTTGCAGCCCGCGCTATTTGGGCCGCGCCCCAACCGTGGTTGGCCAATTTGCGCCTTGTCCTGGCTCAGCCCCTGGCAGCCGCATCTTGCACCCCCACCCGCCAGTCCCGCCCGCCGTGGTGACGCCTGAGGCCCCGCCGCTTTAGGTAATTCGTCTTTGCGCGGCACGCTCTGACTCGACTCGCCTTGTGCGCTTTCGCGCGCGCTTGCTGACAACAGACATTATCCCCGCCAGCCCATCCAGAAACGATGCCCAGGCGAGTTGCCTGTCATAGTCTCCTCGGATGTCTCTTGGAAGCTTATTGGAGGCTTCTTAGAGCCTCTCGGAGGCCTCTTGGCGGGTCTCTTAGAACGTCTTAGGTGCCTCGGGGAGCCCCTTGGGGCCTCTTCAGGGTCTCTTGGGAGCATCTTGGGTGCCTCTTGGGCGCCTCCTGGGCGCTCTTGAGGCGTTCTTGGGAGCTTTGGGAGCGCTCTTGGGGCCATCCTGGAGGAGATCGAGCAACTTACCCTGGCGACGTACCCAACCCGTGCGGACTGCGGGGCAGGAGTAGCTTGGGAGATTTGACGAGAAGGCGGCGACGTGACATGGGCGCATATACTTCTGCGAGCGGCGTCCGTGAGGTTCGCAGGTCCCCAATCATTGGAAAAAATGATGAGCAAATAAGGAGCCCCCTGAGTCACTAAGGAAGACGCAAGGTCCAAAAGGAAACTGTGGGCAAGGGGCTTGACACGTCGGCGGGGCAACAACAACATGACATGGCCCCCTAGGGACGGCGATGTCCCGCTCAGGCCCGCGCATTGCCTCACTCCGCCGGACCCACCAACAGCCATCAAAAATGGCGAGCCCACCGGCAACCCTCGGAAGTGGCGACAGTTTCGCAGATCGCAGCCACCTAGGGACGGTGAGGTCTCGCTCAGGTCTGCGCGGTGCCTCACCCCGTTGGACCCACCAGCAGCCTGCGAAAGTGGCGGCAGTTCCGTAAATCGCAACCCCCCAGGGACGGCGAGGTCTCGGTCAGGTCTGCGCGGTGCCTCACTCCGCTGGACCCACCAACAGCCCTCGAAAGTGGCGACAGTTTCGCAATTCGCAGCCCCCCCAGGGACGGCGAGGTCTCGCTCAAGTCTGCGCGGTGCCTCAACCCGCTGGACCCACCACCAGCTATCGAAAGTGGGGACAGTTGCGCAGATCGCAGCCCCCCAGGGACGGCGAGGTCTCGCTCAGGTGTGCGCGGTGCCTCACCTGCTGGACCCATCAGCAACCTTTTAAAGTGGCGACAGTTTCACAGATCGCAGCCCCTTGGGACGGCGAGGTCTCGCTCAGGTCTGCGCGGTGCCTCACCCCGCTGGACACACCACCAGCTATCGAAAGTGGAGACAGTGTCGCAGATCGCAGCCCCCCAGGGACGGCGAGGTCTCCCTCAGGTCTGCGTTGTGCCTCACTCCGCTGGACCCACCAGCAGCCTTCGAAAGTGGCGACAGTTTCGCAGATCGCAGCCCCCCAGCGACGGCGAGTACAGGGCAGGAGGAGGGAGCAGGCGGGAGGAGGAGACGCGACCGCGGTGCCCTATTCAAAGCGAATGCCCAACCAAGGAGGGTTGGGAAAACGATGGGAGCTCCAATTACGGTCCCCCCTCGGGAGCACCCAAACTCGTTTCTTGTGCCCCTCTTAGGGCGCTCTTGGGGCCGGCTTGGGGCTCTCTTGGGCGTCTCTTAGGGCCCCCAGGGGCCATGTTGGAGATGTCTTGAGGCCTCGGAGGGCAATCGGAAGCGAACAGGCGAGAAGGCACACACTATTGTTTTTCCATTTGTTTTTGGAGGATTTCGGCCTTTTGGCGGCCTCCTGGGGGGGGCGGTCCGTGGCTACTCGGGGCCGTCTTGGTGCAGTCTTTGGGCCTATTGGAGCATCTTGGGCGCCATATGGAGCCATCGTGGGCTATCTCGAGCCATCTTGTAGGTCATCTTGGGCTCCTTTGACGCCCTCCTACAACCATCCTGGGCCATCTTGGACGCTCCAACGCCTCGCGACCCCCCCCAGGTCCAGGGGAGGGGGTAGGGGGAAGTGCCACGACACCCTCCTACATAGCAAGCTGTCTAGCTCACTCCCACCCGCCCTCCCGACACAAAGTAACACCCGAGCCTCAGCATGTTCAGCGGTCGTCTTTGGATGGGCAGCTACTGGGGACCAAAAGCGAACCCATGTGCGCGACGCTGGGGCGAGGTGCGCCACGCGTGCCAGGCGCGCCACGCGCGCCAGGCACCTCTGGGGCCCGAGCGTGCCCGGCACGCCTGGTGCGCCAGATGCGCCACGTGCCGCCGCGTGCGCCAGGTGTGCCGCATACTCTAGCCGCGCCAGGTGCGCCACGTGCGGGGCACGTGCAGAGTGTGCCAGGCGCGCCTGTGCACTTGACAGCACACATCGGGAAACGTGTCGGCCTCCACCATCCTTGTCGATATTTAATGCCCATCACTGTGTCTGGTGGGCCTGCGCGCAGCAGGCCATACGCCATCAACCCCGCCGTCCCTGTCAAAAGCAACTTGACAGTGATTGCGGGGTGGCCGCGCAAGATCCAGATGTAGCCGCGATGTGCATTTTGTATTGTTGTTTGTCAGGGATGGTTGCCCTGCGCACAGCAGGCAATCTGCTGACGCCCCCGCCGCGCCTGTCAAACAAACAGCGATGCGACAGGCCCAACCATATGCAGTTGTGGGTACCGTCGTTGTATGCACCGCATTCGGTGGAGCTCCTTTTGGGGCCACGAAGCGCGTGAAGGGTGTGCCAAAATGGGTGTGGTGGGCGAATGCGAGCGCTGGCATGTGGGCCTTCGGTGGGGCTCCCTGTGGGGCGACGAAGCGTGTGACGGGTGTCGCAAAATGGATGCGGTGCACGCGAGCGTTGGCATGTGGAGCTTCGGTGGAGTTCCCCATGGGGCCACCAAACGTTTGAGGGTGTGCCAGATGGGTGCGGGGGGCGCGTGCGAGCGCTGGCTTATGGGCCTTTGGTGGCGCTCCCCTATGGGGCCACAAGACGTGTGAGGGGTGTGCCAAAATGGGGTGCGGTGGGAGAATGCGAACGCTGGCATTTGGGCCTTCGGTGGAGTTCCCTGTGGGGCGGCGAAACCTATGCGGGGTGTACCAAAATGGGCGCGGTGGGCGCATGCGGGCGCTGGCATCTGGGTCTTCGGTGGAGCTCCCTATGCTGCCACAAAACGTGTGAAGGTGTACCAAAATGGGTGTGAAGGGTTCGCCAAACTGTACGCTGTGGGCGCATGCGAGCGCTGGCATGTGGGCCTTCGGTGGAATTCCATGTGGGGCCACGAAACGCGCTAGGAGAGTTCCAACATGGGTACGGTGGGCGCACGCGAGCGCTGGCATCCAGGCCTTCGCTGGAGCTCCCTATGGGGCCACGAAACGTATGAGTGGTGTGGCAAAATTGGTGCGGTGTGCGCATTCGAGCGCTGGCATCTGGACCTTCGATGGAGCTTCCATATGGAGCCGCAAAGCGTGTGAGGGGTGTGCCAAAATGGGCGCGGTGGGCGCATGCGAGCGCTGGCATTTAGACATTCGGTGGAACTCCATATGGGGCCACGGAGCGCGCTAGGGGAGTTCCCAGATGGGTGCGATGGGCGCATGCGAGCGCTGGCATTTTGGCATTCGGTGGAGCTCCCTATGGGGCCACGAGACATGTGAGGGGTGTCCCAAGATGTGTGCGGTGGGCGCATGCGAACGCTGGCATCTGGGCCTTCGGTGGAGCTCCCCATAGGGCCACGAAACATGTGAGGGGTGTGCCAAAAGGGGCGCGGTGTGCGCACGAGCCTTCGCTGGAGCTTCCCATGAGACCACGAAACGTTTGAGGGGTGTGCCAACGTGGGGAAAGAGAGGAGGAGGGTGCAACAGAGGGGGAGGAGGAGGGGAAGAGGAGGAGAGGCGGAGGGGAGGAGGAGATGAACGCGGGTCGCTGTATCTTCAAAACGAGGACCCAACACCGCAGGTTGGTTGGGAATTGTACAACCTGCTCGCGGGCCTCACAAGCATGACTCTAGACTTTGCGCCAAAGTGTACTTCGTATTGTTTTTGACAGGGATTTTGGGTGGGGGGGCCCTCATGGGTCCCTCATTGTTCCTGGTTGGCCGCCGGAGGTGATAAACCCCTTCTCGAAGGGGAAGAAGGAGGGGTTGGAAGATGGAAGATAAACCGCCCTAGACCACCTACGCCCAGAGGGCTGGTGGGATTCTTGTTTTCAAGTGTCAAGGTAGCACGCTCATCGTGTAGACGCAGTTGCTCAATTCCCGTTCGATTGTTGTGGGGAGGCCATGTCACAGTGGCAGGCGGACTTTCTACACAATAGGTGGTCTAGGTTGCTGTAACCTTTTTTCCGTCTCCTGTAGTGGGGAGGTGAGGGGAGGCTAGGCAAGGTTGAGTTCATTTGAATATCGAATTGTTTCGTGCGCGAGTGAAACGAGTCCGATCTTCAGAATGCTTGCGCGCAGATCATCGAGTCCAAGGATCGCCGCATCCGCGATGGAACAGGCCGACGCCTTACCGTACTCTCCTCTCTCCCGTCCGCCCTCCTTTCTTACCTCCCTTTCGAATGGGGCTGGCAGAGTCGCGAGACCAGTGAGGGGGGGGGGTCCGATCAGCCCGACCTGATACACCAACGCGCGTAGGACCGCTACCGATAGCGCCTTTCACCGCGCCAGGCTTCCATCCCTCGGCCCCCTCCCCCACGCCCTCTTCCTTCCCATCCCCGCTTCCCTCCCATCCCCCTCTTCCCCTCTCCTTCTCTCCTTCCCCTCTTTCCCTCCTCTCGGCCCTTCCCATACCCCTCGGACGGAGCGCGAACACGGGAACGTGGACCCAGACTCAGGAACACAGGGGCCAATGCTGGGAACAAGCTACATGCTTCTCGGAAGCACGAGGCCGAGGCAGGGAAACGAGAACCCGACTGGCTGAAGGACGGCGATCTACGGACTCCCGCAGTCTCCCCCCCCGCTGGGAGAGGTTGTGCCTGACGCTGCCTGCCTTCACTCAGTCCTGGCCGCGAGGTCGCCGGGAGCCATACGGTAGCTCGCGCGGGGCCTGCAGGCGGGGGCTCGCTCGAGCGAGCCCGTTGGGCGTCGCGTGACGAGGGGGCGGAGCATGGGGGGGCAGCGCGGGCTGCAGAAAAGGGGCCGCCTAGGGCCCAGAAGGGGGCCTGCAGGGCCCGAAAAAGGCACCCTTCTTCCTCTCCCACTTATCGCCCCCCCCCACTCAGCGACGCCCATAGGAGGAGGAGGAGGAGGAGGAGGAGGAGGAGGAGGAGGAGGAGGAGGAGGAGGAGGAGGAGGAGGGAGGAGGAGGGAGGAGGAGGAGGAGGAGGAGGAGGAGGAGGAGGAGGAAATGAGGCAAAGGACCTGAGGATACGCCCACTCCGAACCCAGAGGCACGGTGGCGGGTTTCTCAGAGGGAACCAACCACACGCAGCTGCGAGTATCGCGAGGCAGGTGAGACAAGAAGGGGCCTTGGCTGGAGTTCCCTCTGGGGCCACGAACTGTGTGGCCTTGGGTGGAGCTCCCGAGCTCCCTACGGGGCCACGACCCTTGTAAGGAGTGTACTGTAATGGGTGGGGGAGACGGATGCGAACGAGCCGTATGTGCCGTCATGGGTGGCGGACACGCATGCGAACGGTGGCACTGGGGTCTTGGGTGGAGTTTTTAATGGGGTCAAGAATTGTGTGAGGGGTGTGCCGACATGGGCATGCGGAGGGCAGGGGCAAGGCTGGGAGGAGGGAGGATCAGGAGGAGGAGGGAGCTTCGCAACGAGGACCCAGCACCGCGCGGGGCGCTGGGCGCGGTCTTTCCAAAACGGGGACCCAGCACCACAGGATGGTGGGTACGAGCTCGAGACGCCAAGATCTCATGGCTCCGTCCCGACGCCGACGGCGCAGCGGCGCTGCGCCGACGGCCGCCGGCCCAGCCTGCCAGCCGTGCCTCCCAGTGCCCGCCGCTCGAGCGGGAGGCGAGCACGCGAGGCGGTCGTCGGAGGTCCCTGGCGCGCGGCGTCTGCGGGAAGCCTGCGCAGTCAAGGCGCAGAGTGGGGATGAGCAGCTTTCCAAGGCTGCCCTTATGATGTTCCAACCTGCTCTAGCCTTGATCACCAGGAAGAGTGTCGAGCACCACCATGGTACCGAAACTGGAGGGTTTTCACGTGTCGGGCCCTGGGAGGCGATACTCGTTCGACACGGTTCTGATACTTTCTGGGTGCTCGAAATTATTTCTGGGATGTGGTCCTTAAGTACGGTGGGAGCAACATAAGGCTACCCGTGCATCCTTGCCCCTTCAGGCCCATACTTGGCGACTTTCGCCGGCCCGCCCCGTTCGAGAACGCCAACATGGCCCTCAAAGACCTTTGCTTTCTTGCCGCGCATTCTTCTTATCCAACTTGACTGTAGCGCCGGGCGCCAGGGCAGCCGCGGTCGCTCGCTTCTGCGGTTCGGGGAACAAGTAATGACACGAACATCCACTTTCGGAGGTCCGCGCGAACCTTCGAAAGAGTTGTGTGTTGTGCCATCATTTGTGCTTCAAGCGGGCTCGTCCAAGATCGGGGCAACGTACGACTCGACTTCGCCAGATCTCGGATTCGCTGGCGCTTTTTGAAAGGCCTGTCCTGGATTTTGACGGTCCAGGTGGGACGTTGATGGTGGGAGCTCGCGTCAAACTTCAGACTAAGTCTCGTCATTTTCCTGACGGCCCCGTCAGGCTAACCCGAGCCCCCCTAACCTGAGTCTTACGTCTCCCTAATACGGTCCAAGAGGTCACCGCCGCCCAAACCACCCCAACCCAACCCGAAGGCCCTGATTTGTCCTCCATTTCCAGTGGTGGGGGGGTCGGTGAACATTGAAAAAACATCTGTGGAACCCGTACCCCCCCAACACGAAATTCGGGTCTTCGGGTTAAGTTGGGATGGGCTGGTATGTAGTGTAGAGGGTGGTTGAGGACATTGGGTGGGTGCATGTCGTGGTCGAGGTCATGCTGTGTCCCGGGCTTCGTGGCCCCATCGTTTCTGATGTTCCAACATACTTTAGAGCCTTGATCACCAGTAGGAATTTCGAGCACCAAGAAAGTTCTGAAACCGGAGGGCTCTCACGAGTCGGGCCCTGGGCGGCGATACTCGTTCGACTCGGGATGTGGTTCTTAGGTACGATGGGAGCCACAGAACTCCTCGTCTTCTTTCAGCGCGACCCCTGCCCCCCCCCCCCTCTCCTCGCCCGCGCACGCGCACGGCCCGCGGGCCATGGTGCGCAAGCCTCGCCTCTTCCTGACCCCTCGCCCTGGGCGCACCCGGTTCCTCCCCCTCCCTCCTCTCAGGGGGGACGTCAGGGGGGGGGGGGCGAGGGGCTGGCCCAGGAGGGGGAGGAGGAGGAGGAGGAGGAGGAGGAGGAGGAGGAGGAGGAGGAGGAGGAGGAGGAGGAGGAGGAGGAGGAGGAGGAGGAGGAGGAGGAGGGAGGAGGAGGAGGAGGAGGAGGAGGAGGAGGAGGAGGAGGAGGAGGAGGAGGAGGAGGAGGGAGGAGGAGGGAGGAGGAGGAGGGGAGGAGGAGGAGGAGGAGAGGAGGAGGAGGAGGAGGAGGAGGAGGAGGGGGAGGAGGGGAGGAGGAGGAGAGGAGGAGGGGGAGGAGGAGGAGGAGAGGAGGAGGAGGAGGGAGGAGGAGGCAGGAGGTGGAGGAGGAGGAGGGCATCTGCCCAGGAGGCAGCGTCTGCCCCCACCCGCCCGCTCCTCGCCGGTCGGGTCCGGGGTGCCCCGCTCCGCCCGGGAGTCTGCGTGACCATCGCTCTCGGCGACGCATCGCCGATTCCAGGTCAATCCTCCCCTCGGTCGGGGGCGGCAAAGAGGGGGGTGATGACTAGGGGGGGGTGGATATCATGGCGGGGGCCATGGTATTTCCCCAGATTTCATGGCGCCCCTTCTTATTTCATCACGTCCCTGGCCCCCCCGCTGGGCCGCGCACATGCCCCCTGTCATGATTTGCACCCCCCCCTCTTGGACACCCCCCTCTTGGTCGATCCTCCCCTCGGCGGCGAGCCTGGGGGAGAAGCGAGAAGGGTTAGGTTGGGCCTGTCCCTCTACAGGAGGAATATTCAAAAACAGTCAAAAAACAGCCTGGGGACGATGTTTTGCCCACTTTTGACAGTCTTTGGAGTATTTTTTGGGCGTGTTTTATCCTGCGTCCACAATCCCCCTGTGGGGGGACGGGCCCGACCTAAGAGAAGGGGCCGGCTCGTGCCGTGACGACTCTGGCGTGGGGCTCTAAGAGCACGCGGATCAACCGCTCAGCCCTGGACGATCGGCGCCTCTTCCATCGCCGAATCGTTCTCTGTGCTGGCCGACTGGGCCACTGGCGGCGCTCGAGCCTGAGCGCTCACGGCGGGGCCGCCGCCGCGTCGACGCGGCACGCACCTGCCTCGGCGGCGCGTCCGGGGGCGGGCCCTCTCAGAAAGCTTGGAAGTCCCCGGGCCATTCTGGGCAGCTTCCCGAGCCTTCCCCGGAGACACAGAGAGCCTCTCACGAGGCCGGGGGGGTCCTGAGAAGCCCCGCCGCCTCCTGAGAGGGCCTTCTCCGTCTCACTTCCCCCCCTCGCTCGCTGCCGAGTCCGTCCTTCCCACCCCTCCGAGCCAGTCCCCGCCGTTTCCCCGCCTCTCACCGAGCGCGCCCCACTCTCCTCGCACAGCGCCTGCCCGCAGACGCCCGAAAGACGGACGCCTGCTTCGAGGGGCTCCCTCGTAGGCTGCCCCGAGCCAGGCCATTTGCGAGTACTCCAGATTTCGTAATAAAAGGGAGGGGGTCTGGACCCTCCAAGACAAGCCATTTCAGACCTCCCCCGTGGGATAACCCTCCAAAACATCGTCCCCAGACCCCCCAGGCCCTCCAAGATAGCCTGGAAGAGACCCCCCCCCGAAATGAGACCCCCCTCCCTTTATTACGAAATCTGGAGTAGTCACTCTGCGAGCAGTGGAACGCGCTCGTCCAGTCTCCCCTCCCCCGCCCCCGCGGCACGGCGCGCGGCTCCGAGCCGGAGAGCCGCGCCGCCCTCGGCGGCGCACCTCTCGGGGGCGGGCGCGCGCTCGCGGGGGGGGAGGGCCTCCCCGGCGCGGGCGGGGGAGCTCTCGAGGAGGGCACGCGTCGGGGGCCCCCCAAAGGGGTGGTGACCACACCGTGTGGTGAGTCGGTGGGGATTTGGGGTCACCGCACGGTTTTGGGACTCGGGTCGTTTTCCGAGGACGTCTCGGGCGATTGGGGCCTCCGAGGTCCCAAAACCGTGCGTTGACGGACCGTGCGGTGAGGTCTTGGGGGATTTCGAGGTCACCGCACGGTCTGTCACCGCACCGTTTCGGGACTCCAAAACGCGGCAGGGAGCCCCGGCAGAAGCCCAGGCAGGCGATCGCGAACATGGACCAAGGGGGCGCGGATTAGCGACGGGTACCGTTTCCATGGGGAATCGCGGATTTCCGCCGCCAAGCGAGGCGGCACGGGCCGCCTTTTGGGGAGGGCACCTCCCCCGATCCATGGATTTGGCGACCGCGCGCCAGATCCATGGATCGCTAATCAATGTTTGCGCGCCCCCGACCCAGGCAGAAGCCCATGGCAGAAGCCTCGTCAGAAGCCTCGTGTCAGAAGCCTCGGCGGACGCCCTGCCAGGCGCCTCGGCAGAAGGCCTCGTCGGATAGGCCTAAGTGGGCGGCACGGGGCACGAGGCCTTGCTTGGAAGCCTCTGGCCCGTTCTCATGGGTGCCCCTCGTTCTCAGGGGTGCCCCCCCCCGCCTTCTCAGACGGGCCGCATCCCTCGCTCTCCACCCTCTTGCTCGGTCGCCGCTGGCTCCTGGGCCTGAGAGCGCACGTGGCAGGATGCCTCGTGGAGTTTGCCGCTCCGGGGCACGGGGAGCGGACAAGGTGACTAGCGTAGGCCGCTCGGCGCCTCGGACTCGGGGCTCCTCCAGGGATGCTCGGGGGAATTGAAGCAGCAGGGGCGGCTCATGCTGGAGCCCGTCCCGCTGGGGGCTGTCGGATTTCCAGACCGAGCTCAAGAACAAGGACGAGGAGTATGTGAAGATGCTCAAGCAACAAAGCACCGACATCACGGGCCTCATCAAAGGAATGCGAGATCAGTATCACATGCTCCGCCAGAACTATGAAAAACAGCTTGAGGACATTGAGGGGGCATTCGAGAAGGAGCGCAGTGACCTCATGAGGAAGAACAAGGACACAACCAAGGGATGCTCAATACTTGAGCCTGCCTTATCCACCGCCCGTACGAGCAAGTCTTACACCCCCGCAGAGCCTTACCTGGGTCACACTCCAGTGTGCGTGCCCCCGCTGGCCTACCAACGGGCTGGTGTCGCTCTCCTTGTCAGGATTTTTTCTTTGGGATCCTTTGTGGGCGTATCGGGGTCCGCCTTCTTCTCTTCGTTCTCCCTTGTCCTGGGCAACAGCCCTTCCCCCTGACAAGCTCGAAATAATTTCGCCGCGATGATGATGATGCTGATACTTATGATGATGATGATGATGATGATGATGATGATGATGATGATGATGATGATGATGATGATGCTGATGATGATGATGATGCTGATGATGATGATGATGATAAGGATGATGATGCTGATGATGATGACGATAATGATGATACTGATAATGATGATGATGTTGCTGAATACGATACTGATGCTGATGATGATGCTGCTGATGATGATCATTATGATGATGCTGATGGTGGTGATGCTGATGCTGATGCTGATGCTGATGCTGATGCTGATGATGATGATGATGATGATGATGATGATGATGATGATGATGATGACGTGGATGATGATAACACGACGATGATGACGATTCTGATGATGATGACGATGCTGATGATAATGCTGTCTGTAATGATGATGCTGCTGCTGATGATGCTGATGCTGATGATGATGACGATGATGTCGATGACGATGCTGACGATGATTACGATGGTGTTGATGCTGATGATGACGATGACGATGACGATGATGATGCTGATGATCATGATGATGATCATGATGGTGCTGCTGATGCTGCTGATGCTGAAGATGATGATGACGACCATGATGATGGCGTCCATGATGCTGATGCTACTGCTGATGCTGATGACGATGGCCAAGACGTCGAGGACGATGGTGATGATGATGATGCTGATTGTTTCGGTTGATGTTGATGACGATGATGATGCTGCTGATGATGATGACGATGATGATGACGTCGACGATGCTGATGCTGATGATGATGATGATGACGATGACGATGCTGATGCTGCTGATGATGATACTGATACTGATTATGATGACGATGGTGAGGATGATGACGATGATGAGGATGATGATGATGATACTGATTATCATGCTGATGATGATATTGACGATGATTATGCTGGTGATCATTTGCTGATGACGTCGATGATGCTAGTGATGATTCTGATGATGATGATGATGAGAAGGAGGAGGAGGAGTAGGAGGAGTTGGACGAGGATGGTGATGGTGACGATGATGATGACGATGGTGATGATGATGCCGATGCTGGTGATGATGATGTTGATTGTGATGACGACGACATCGATGATGATGATGCTGCTGATGATGATTCTGATGATGATGCTGATGCTGATTGTGATAGCGATGACGAGTTTGATGCTAATGCTGATGATTGTGATTATGCTGCTGCTGCCTATGATGATGATGATGCTGATGCTGATGACGATGACGATAACGACGACGACGATGATGATGCTGACGATGACGATGATGATGATAACGAGATAATGGTGACGCTGCTGATGATCATGATGACGATGATGATTCTGGCGATGCTGATGACGACGACGATGATGATGCTGATTCTGATTATGATGATTATGCTGCTGATGATGATAAGGGAGTTGTTGATGATGAATCTGCTGATGATAATGGCGATGATGATGATGTGACTGATGATGTTCAGGATGCGTATTATGATGATGGTGATGATGGTGATGCTTCTGATGATTAGGATCATGATGATGGCGATGAGGCTGATGATGGTGACGATGACGAGTATGCTTAGGAGGACGATGCTTCTGCTGATAATGAGGATGATGACGATGATCGTGGTGGTGGTGACGATGATGATGATGATGATGGTGGTGTTGATGATGGTGACGATGATGATGATAATGATGATGATTATGATCATGATGATGACGAGGACGTCGAGGATCAGGATGATGATGCTGATGACGACGACGTCGTTGATGACCATGATGCGGATGATGCTGTCGATGATGATGATGATGATGCTGATGATGATAATGATGACGATGATAATGCTGATGAGGATGAGGTTCATGACATTGACGATGAGGATGATGATGATGCTGATGCTGATGATGATGGTGATAATGATGGTGATGGTGATGATGATGATGATGATGATTATGATGATGATGATGATGATGATGATGATGATGATGATGATGATGATGATGATTATTGTGATTATTATTATTATTTTTACCATTATTATTATTATTGTTGTTATTATTATTATTATTATTATTATTATTATTATTATTATTATGATGGTGATGATGACGATATGACCATGATCCACGCACCCGAAGAGGTCAAGAGCTCCCAGCGTATAGTGCCCCTCGGACCGAGACGTTTTTCTTTGGCCCTGCGGCGGCAACGCACGGTCTCGTGCCTGAGGCATCCTCGCAGATTCACCTGAGTGCTCAGACACCGCCCACTGCCCAGGCCGAAGCAAGCGGTGAACAGCATCCGAGCAGTCATGGCGACTCAGCCCGCAACAGAAGCACACAGGGCAGTGCAACGACGGGCGGGCTGGTACGCAGCAAGCTGCAACGCGCCAGCGTATCCACTGTGACCGAGGCCACGCCACAGGCGCCCACAGCCAGCGGCGGCATGCCGTGTCACGTCCTGCGACGCGCGAGTATGGAAGCCAAACCAGAGCAACAGGCCCCAAGGCACGAGGCCACACACTGGACGTCATGGCTCTGCGTCGGCGAGGGCCCGATCGAGAGCGTCGGTAGTCAGCCACCTACGCCCACGGTTCAGCCTCTCAGATCGGAGGCTGGCAGCACACAGTTGGCGGCAGGCGAGACGGGGGTGCCGAGCGAGAGGCCATGCACCAGGGCACCGAACCAACGCTGTGCACACTAGGCGTGCGGCAAGAAACCTACGCAGCAGCAGAGCAACTCTATCTAGGCCCCTGGCCCGACGGAGGGACCTGTGTCTTTACCACTGCTGTCCGAGCCCGATCCCGTGCGTCGGCGAGCCTACACACCTGGTTCGGCTTCCTCCCTACGCCCGAAGCCGTGCGCTGCAGACATGTTGCAGCGTGCACCGAACCTTGCCAGGCATACTGAGAGAGCGGCTAGCGCAACACCTAGCCACCAGCAGAGCAATTCGTCCATCGGCCTCCGCTTGAAGCGCACCTCTGACGCAGATGCCATCGGGCCGCGCGCACCGAGCCGAGGCCATGCATTCTGGGCAAAACGGCGTGCATTGCCCAAAAGCGCTGGCGGAGCGGCGAGATCTGCCGCGAGCGTGCCAGCGAAGCTACATTCAGCAGGGGACATGCCACGTAGAGTCTGCCATCAACAGGCAGACGGGCGGCATTCAACGTCCAACGTGCGAATACGAAAGCCAACGCTGGGCAACACCATCCCGCAACACAACGTCCAGGACATCGTTGCTCAGCGATGGCGCGGATCCTGATCCAGGGCGCCGGTAGCATTCCACCTACGCCCACAGTTCAGCCTCCAATGCGAATTGCAGCATGCACCGAGCTTATGCCATGCACACTGGGAAGAGCGGCGAGCGACACACCTACCCAGCAGCAGAGCAACTCGTCCCAAAGGCACCTGACCACAGGGTGGACTGATTGCTTTGCCGCTGGCATCGGAGTCCGATCCCGTGTGTGGGCAGATGTCTACACACCTGGTTCGGCTTCCGTTCAAAGCGCTGCCTCCGACGCGGAGTACCGTCGAGGCGCGCAGACGGATTGCAGCGTGCACCGAGCCAATGCCATGCATGCTAAAAGGGGGGAGCAGCACGCAATACCTGGCCATCAGCAGCGCAACTCATCCCATAGTCTCCTGACCCAACAACGGACTGGTTGCATTGCCCACAGCATCGGAACCCAATCCTTTGCGTCGGCAAACCTACGCACATGGTTCGGCTTCCGCTCAGAAATTGCCTCTAGCGGGGCGCTGAGTGTAGTACTGTGCGCAGTGGAAGAAGAGTGGCAGAAGAAACGGACGCCTGCTGGCCCAAGCGTCTGCAGAGGCGCCGCAAGCGCTCGGGGGCGCCGATCGATCCCGCTCCTGCAGGCCGGAGGCCGCGCTTCAGCCTCCCGAGGACCGCCTTCTGCCTCGCACTCTTGGGCACCGTCGGGCACGGCTTGGCGAGCCCCGCCAACATGGCACTCTGCGTCTGGTACCCGCACTTGCTGCAGAGCATGTGTGCACCAGCCCTCTCCATAGCTCGTCGGACTCGTGAGTGTCCGCTCCCCACCACGGGGGAAGCTCCGGCGGAGGCGGCTGCGACGCCTGTGCAGGGGGTGCGGCTTGACCTCCGCTGCTGCTGCTGCTGCTGCTGCTGCTGCTGCTGCTGCTGCTGCCCGGGCCTGCGGTGCCAGCCGCATCTGGGCCCCCACCATCGCCTTCGCCAGGGGCGGCGTGCGCAGCGTCCGCCTGACTGGATGGCAGAGCCGCGCCGGCAGTGAGCAGCGCCGCCGCTGCTGAAACTGCCCCCGCGCTCCGGTCGCCACCTGCTGTGTAGGGGCCCGAGATGGCCTCGCCGCGGCCCGCGCACTCGAGGCGCGCCCATGCCGTGTCGCCGTCGTCGGTGTCCAACCAGGTGCCGTGGCATCCGCGCGCGCGTCGAGGGCAGTCGGGAAACCCGCAGTGGCTCCTACAGCGCAGCTGGCATGCTCGCCAGTCGCAGCGTACCTCGCCGAGGCCTGGCCCATCATGGCCGTCTCAAGCCGTGAGCCCCAGAGGCGCCGTGGCGGAGCATCATTATAATGTTCATCATGATCATTTTCATCATCGTCATCGTCGTCATGACCATCACCATCACCCTCACCATCACCATCACCATCACCATCACCATCATCACCATCACCATCACCATCACCATCACCATCATCATCATCATCATCATCATCATCATCATCATCATCAT